CAAAAAAATGCTAACAAATAGTCGATTTTTTTGTGGTTATTAGGTCATTGTACTCGTAAATAGTAAAAGATAAATTTTCAAACTACATATGATAAAGGAAACATTTATATTATTCCATAAATATGTAACATGAATTAAATAGAGATATTTTTACTATAGAAAATTGCTTGACTTTGGTAAGGTGAAAATAGAGCACTAATCGATGTGCTTCGCGCTATGAGGCGTGCAAAATAGTATTTTTTTAAAGTTTTTTAATTAAAGAAACTAAAAAGTGAATTTTTCTCCCCATGAACAAAAATAATCTGAAAAATATATTTTACACCTTTATAAAAATTTTGCATACAGTGTTAATTTCTTACAATTTTACAACTATACCCGACTAGAAACTTCAGTGAGGCAGTGATTCGGCGCAAGTTAGGCATGCCGAATTCCAAACTTGCGCCAAGTGAGGCATCCAAACCAGACTGAAGTTTAGGACGTAACGCAGTTGCGAGTTTGGGCCTAAACTTGGCTTCCGACTTAGGCAGTGGTTTGGAAACTATACTTGCTGGTGACTTTCTAAACCTTATTCGGTCCGAATTTAGGCAGCAATTTGGAAACCAAATTCGCAAAGAACTTCGGCGGCAAGAAACGCCGAAGTCCGGCAAACGTTTGGAATGCCTAACTTGCAGGAAATTATAAAATCCAAAGGCTTATGGAAGTTCGGTTTGCCAAACTTAAAAGTAACTAGGGTCATCTATGGTAACACGAAGTTCGGCAAATGTTTGGTTATCGTTACTTCCAACTAGTCAGGCATTCCAAAGGTTCGCCGAAGTTCGGCTTGCCATAGATGTCCCAAATTACACGCAAATTTGGCATGCCGATCTTTGTTTTGCCTAACGTGGATTTAAGAAGGCGTAAATTAGGCTTGCCTAAGTTAGGCAAGCCAAACTTGCCCCTCACTAATTCTTCGGCATTCCTCACTACAATTTCTAGTCGGGTAACAGATTGTAAGTAATTCAATAAAATAATTCATGAGAGTTGCGTATTAAAATTAATAATTGGATGATAGAATCGTTTCTAATTTTTCATAAAAATGGTTTTATGTCACGAATTTCAAGAAATCACTGCAGTATTCCGTGAAGAATGAAGAATTAACCGTTTATAAATTATAAATGGTGTATAATACCTCTATGACTGACGTCATCTATATTTTATCTATTTTTTATTTAGCTATATTGAATATAAAGGTTAGTCATTTCAATTTAGTTTGGTGATAGGTGATTATGATTAGTAATCATTGATTACATAGAAAAATTTTATAAAGAATAAGGTAACTCTATGCTGCTATATTCAACATATAGTAACAAAACGATTTACATTACAATCAATAAATTACGTCATTGTCCTCAGGATGATAATTATTCAAATTCTCGACGTGATGATAAATTTAATTTATCAATGCGTTGCCGTTAAAATAAGATATCAACCACTAAACAAAAGATTAATTGTAATTATTAGGCGACTGAAGCAAGCCTACATCGACGAAAATTTCACTTTTTGCGGTAGATTTTATGAAAATATTACAAAATAATTAGATATGATCTTGAAAACAATTACTTATATTGATGTCTTAATTTGGTATATTAATCATTATTTTTGTGGAAAATAATCACAAATAATAAAAAAATAATTATAATTTGTTTCGATGCATGTGTGTGTTACTGATGCAATATGACTTCAGTCTACATTAGTTAAGAACATTTTTCTTTCCTTTTTTAAAATTTCCTTTCGAGATTAAGTAAAACAAATAATAAATAACGACACATTGAACATATTAAAATTTATTAAACTAATCATAAATCTAAAACCGCGCTCAATTATTGCGATATTTAAAACAGAATTTCTTCAAAAATCGAAAACTTTAAAAATAAAACTGACTTGTAAAACAAATTAGATGTAACCACGAGGTTATTTTTTTTAACTAGTGTACAATAATAGAGAATTGAAAAAAAATTTACCTTATTACAAAAATATATAAAATAACTGATATTAAATAACGATCGTTTTAATCCTATATTCATTTTATAAATTAATCTCCGGCAAGATTGGTTAAATATGTGAAAGGGCTTTTGGCTTTAGAGACCTGACCTGGACAACAGTAACTTGTCACCAGTTAGGTTGATCCAACGAGGGTGGTAAACATTACTAACAGGTTAATGACAGGTAGTTTTTTGACGTAGAAAAAAAAAAGGCAAAAGGTCGATAGACTGGAGATGCAACCTGTCGCAATAAAAATTCTTCGAATCTACCTGCCAAGCGTTTCATATAAACCTTTACATAGTATAATCGTGTGCCCGGAAGATGAGCGATATTGTGAGAAGACGACTTTGTTATACCTGAAAGTAGAATGAACCAAACTAAAACGGGATAAGGGATCTCTCAGGGTTTGTAAGAACGCGAGAAGGTGTCGCGAATGAGACAACCTACCTATGATATGATTTGGGATCCCTATAGATCGCCGTTATGTGTTCTGGTCGGATCGGGCGAACACTTATGTACCTGATGATTGGGTTCTGAGAACAAACACAATATCACTGTAAATATATTACTTTCAATAGAAAATATAAAAATGGAGAAAACGGTACTTCTGCTTCTAATCAAGAGTTCATTTTTTGCTATTATTCAAGTTAATACACTAGCCACATGCCAGTTGAGAAAATACAGGTCGTTCAATATTTTCTTTCTAAAATGGTTCAAAATATTTTTTTAGTCTTCACTACCATTGTATATTTTAATGAGCTTAATCATTTAAATTGAAACTTTAATGCCTATACTTATTTTGGACAATACATAGAAAATATATATATATATATATATATATATATATATATATATATATATATATATATATACTTGATTCAAGTAAATATATTTGAAGAACTTTATCTTTTTGATTTGAGAAGAGAAATTCTTAAGATAAGAAAATTTTCTTTTGGTTTGAATAAATTTTACTTGATTTAAGAATTTTTTATCTTGACTCAAGACAATGAAAATCTTCAAAATTGTTTTTTTTTGATTCAAAATTTTCGACTTCCCGCTATAAAAATCAATGATTTTCAAAAAATCGAGAAGTTATTAAAGTCATAAGTTATAACTTATTACATCTTTTTGTTAATTTGATAATTATATATTAGATTATAAAACCGGATTGATCAATATGACATTTGATTGATTAATATTTTATGGATTGTTTGAATAGAGACAATTATTGTTGTTTTCGAACTAAAAACAAAACAGATATATTTTGAAAATATACATTCAAAAAAATGTGGTGACAAAAACAAATACTTTTTGATCTGATGATGAAAAATTGAAAGATGAATAGAATGATAAAAGAAAAAAAAATTTATTTTTTTGACAGTCAAACTTATCATATCTGATGGTTTTGCAGTTAGAATTTTCGTATATACGATTGCCACTGCGTGTTTTATTTTTCGTGGTTCATCATTATAGACGGTGACTCAGAGACTTGAAACCAGTTTGGCGGTGTAGGCTTTTTTCAATGTGACTTTATATAGGATGTTATACAGCAAGTGAGGGTGAAAAAGAAATAAGACAAAGAACGATCTACTTACCGGTAAGAATAAAAAAAGAAGAAAGACATAGTTACCAATTTTCGTTGTTGTAGTCTGTATAGACTTTACAGTCTTGCAGTTTAGCGTAAATCCCCGATAGTCGCAGGAATGATGGCGTGAACAACATTTCAGTATATCTCCTACAAAAAGAAACTATATGCTATGAAAAATATAAAAGAAACGATGGAAAATATGCAGTACTTTTGAGGCACAGATAATAGATTTGCTGCAACTTAATATATATATATGACGCTCAATTCAAATTATTTTATTTTTCTATTGTGATGCATAGTTTATTGTTTAAAAACAAATGATTTCCCGAGTCGAAAAATAACTACGGTTTTAGGTCTTAAAATGCTATAAAATGAGGTTTGTCACAGTTTAAGCCTCACCATTTAACACTCATGCCAAGAAAAACCTCATTTAGTACGTAATATTCCGGATTGAGACAAAAATGAGACATTTCTAAAGGATATTTAAATTTGAAATGAGGTTAAAATGAGGTTTATCTAATACACCAAATTTTCTTACTCCGGGGTTCAAAATGAGATATGTCTCATATACGGCCTCAACATATGACTGTAGATCGATAGAGGCATATCTCACACAGTCGTCTTAATTTTAACGACGTATACCTGAGACAAATCTCATTTTTGGTCAGACTGAAAAATTTTGTATTATATATATATATTAGGGTGTGCCAAAATGTAAGTTCCGTAAAGAACCTTTTAAAATTGGAATTTTCAGTTCCGCTTTTGAAATCAGCTGTGTTTAGGCCTTTTGGGGTGAGACGATAAATTTGATTTTCATAGAATTTTTTAGCAGGAGGTTTAATTGGGCAATTCCGGCCAAAATTTGAATTTTCAGCGGAAGTGTCCAAACTAAGCTCCGGTTAAAAAATTCTATGAAAATCAAATTTATCGTCTCACCTCAAAATATCTTAGGAAAGACCTAAACAGAGCTGCTTTTAAAAGCGGAACTCAAAATTCCAATTTTAAAAGGTTCTTCACGGAAGTTACATTTTGGCACATGCTAATATATATATATATATATATAATTCATAGCTTTATTTTATTTAAATTAGACTTACATTTATAAAATGAAAAGTTCGAATTTAATTCAATTGAAAAAAATTTGTATTTATTAGTAATGAATCGAGACCAATACATACTAGAATGAATACTAATTAATTTAATTTAATAACTGATTAAGTACATTACTGAATTTTGTAAAATTTTATATAAAAGTAATTATTACATATTGAAAAATGTCTTAACTTCGCTCTCATTCGATTGATTATCGTGAGCATTACCATAATACTGAGTATTAATATAATTATATTGAGGATTTTGTGAATAATAATTTAACATTATTTTACTTTCGTTAGCCAGAAACCATTTTGTTTTGATGATATTGTTCACTTCGTTGATTTTGTATTTTTCTTTTTTTTGGTGGCAACAATTGCGGTGGATGTGATACTTCTGGATTATGGACAATTGGTTCGGTAATTGTTGTTGCAGTATCTATAATGATTTGATTAATTTTTTTATTTTTTTCTTCTTTCTGCGTCCCCTTACGCCGCTTATTTGAACAAAGTTTACCGACGCAATCCTGAAAAGTTTCCCATTGCAGATTTGTATCAATAGATTTTGCCAGTTCTGAAAAAAATAAAATATTAATGAAAATTTTTTGTAAACTGATTGTATGATTTCAGAAGCGAAAAACAGAAAATATCTTATTTTACTTACTATAAATACCCATCATTATTTTTTTATCTATCGAGATATTGCCTCGTGATCCTTTCACAGACATATACTTTAAATGGTTCCCATAAATTTGAACAAACAGGCCATTTATAAGTCCTCTCCAATTATTAACATTGGATATTTGTAAAGCTCTTAATGAAGCTTCATTTAAATAACATCCAGTATGAGGAAAAATTTCAACCTGTAAAATGAAAATTAGTTTATTAATAAAAGAAGTCGAATAAACAATTATTTTCATAAATACTTATTTCACGAAAATCAACATTCTGTGAAAAGAAAATAATATCTAAGATATACCTTACCTTATTTAGTGTATTGGTCAACGCTTCTTTTGTCATCTATAAAAAAAAATTAACTATTAATAAAAATAATTAACCAAACAAAAGAATTAATACGCATATTTCCTTACCTGCGATATTTCCTTCAGTGCTTTGATACTATCAATTTTGTAAGAATATTTCATGGATGCCAACAATAGCTCTTGACTCGCTATAAGTTCCTGAGTTACTGTAATAGAACATATTTATATTTAATATTATATTGTTAGTTTTATAATTTTTTTATTGTTATACTAACCATTTGGTATGAAAAAATAACTCGATGTCGTTGGCTTGGGATCTAATCCAATAATTTCATCATTTTTGTTCGGTTCCGAAACTTTAAATGTAATTTTTTCTTCGTTATTTATGATATAAATTGAAGAGTTTTTGAGATAATTTTCGTCATTATTATCACCAGTTTCATTATTATCATTGTCATCATCATTATCACTCCTGATGCTATAAATCCGCGACTCATAATTATGTTTTGAAAGCTTTTTTTTAATACTTTTTCTTGGAAGTGAATCATTTTCTTTTTGAGATATAATTAAAGGATTATTTGATAATTTCTTCAATTTACTTTCGGGATATTCATCAAAAATTGTCTTTCCATCTGCAATTATTTCTTCTTCACGAACTTGAACAAGTGTTCTTTGTAAATTATTTTTTTTTTGTTTATGTTTTATGTTGGTCCGTTGCATTAAAACAGTTCCTAAAAACGCTTTTGTTGTTACATCGAAGATGCGACCAGTATTTTCATCAACAGAAATATTGTCCAGCAGATCTTTATCATCTGGAATAACATTACTATAATTTTTCCTAATTCAAAAATAGTTTGGTTTTGTACCATCCAAATTTACATTTATATAGTTACTTACCACTTATTTTCAAAATTTTAGCATCTAACACTTCAAATAATTTTGATTGTTCATTTTTCCACTTTAACATAACACTAGCGTTTTCATATCGTGACTGGACGGGTATGCATGAAGTTTTAATTGTCTGTAATTGTTTTGATTTAGTCCAAAAAATAAGCGCATAAATTCCAGACATTTTTACAAAAATTTTTCGCTTTAGTCAAGGAAATCAACAATAAAGTTAAAAATAACAAACTGATCACAATTAGTTTATTTGAACTTTTCACTTTATAGAATAAGAGAAGTGCTCAATATGAAAGCCTAAAATGTACTAACAGGGTATTCTTGAGATTGTTTAACTATGCTATTTTACTTGGTATGTATACATTGTTGAACATGAAAATGTATTTTAAAAATAAATTTTGTCCGGGATAGCCAGACATATGGCCAAAATTTTTTTTAAAGTAGTGTAGACAAATAAAATTTTTATAGCTCTTTAAAGTATTAGAGTCGTAAAAGTTGAAAGGCTTTCTTTGTATTTTAGTTATTTTCAAGGGTACGGAATTTTTAAGTATACGAGTTTCGGAAAAAAATTTTTCCAATATTTAAACATTGTGTTTATTACTTATGAAAATTTATTATTTATGAAAATCTCTTTTTGATTTGTCAGCTATTTTAATTTTTTTATTAAGAAAAAAAAATGAATAATACTTTCTGACTAATTTGTCAGCTGTTTAAATTTTTTTATTAAGAAAAAAAATAAATAATACTTTCTGTCATTAAGTCATACGATTCCAAGTGTGGTTCGCCAGATAAATTTATGAAATAATTCGTTTACACACTAGAGAGTTGTCGCTTACTCTGTCTCAAGTAAGAACTAGAAAAAGCATACAATATAGGGGGGGGGGGCAAAATGGGGTAGGGGTGGCAAAATGGGGTACCCCCAAAATTTCGTAAAAAAATTTTTTTTTTTTCAAAAAGCTTTTTTAGCTTTCTAAAATATATTTTAACGTCATTTCCTACAATTTCAGAGGAAAAAAAATTTTTTTTACATGCAGTAAAAAAAATTTCGTCAAATTTAACACAAATATTTGTGTTACTGACTGTTTTTACACAAACTAATGTTAATTCTACATTCTCGTATGTTAAATCAACACATGAGAATGTAAAATTATACACACTAGAGTGTAATTTGCTACACAAAAATTTTTACACTTTACAAATTGACGAAAAATTTTTTACTGTGCAGTAATTTTTATCGCCATTGTGCATCATAATAATTTTTTTTCACATCTAAGATTTTTTTTTCACATCTAAGATTTTTTTTTCACATCTAAGATTTTTTTTTCACATCTAAGATTTTTTTTTCACATCTAAGATTTTTTTTTCACATCTAAGATTTTTTTTTCACATCTAAGATTTTTTTTTCACATCTAAGATTTTTTTTTCACATCTAAGATTTTTTTTTCACATCTAAGATTTTTTTTTCACATCTAAGATTTTTTTTTCACATCTAAGATTTTTTTTTCACATCTAAGATTTTTTTTTCACATCTAAGATTTTTTTTTCACATCTAAGATTTTTTTTTCACATCTAAGATTTTTTTTTCACATCTAAGATTTAAAAAAAAAATTAGTTAAATACAAAAATTAATTTGATTCTTTCAAATCAGCTGCTAGTAACCTGTCCGTGATTTGGCAAAGCTGTTCTTCGGTTGTTTACATTTTCATTTGCACATTATAACCTTAAACACGTTTAAGTTTTTGTAGTCAGTGTAAATAAATAAATTAGTTTGAATTTATTGAATGGTCTGAAGTTCGCGCGCTACGCAACGTTGCCAAATTTTTTGACTCCATTTTAACGTAGGTTGCTTGAGAATTTTTTGTGATTTTTAAATATTACTTTCTCAATAAATATCTCGGTAACTTATATATTTTATTGCAAAAAAAGAAACCTGAATATTTTGAAAATCTAATTTTTAGTTTTTTTTTACTTCATCTAATCTATGACTGATAGTATAATTCGAGAAATACTGCAAATGTCTGACTTTCTCGTAAGCCTCTGAACAAATACTAACATTTAAAAATTTTATTTTTTCAAAAATTTGTCCGGTAAAGTATAATTTAAACCTCACTATTAGATAAATAAGGACTTCAACTATTAGAAAAAAATTTAATTTACTCATAATCTAATATTTTTTATTTTACATTGGCGGCGAAAGGATCTCCTTAACTATGAATGCTCAGAAAACTGAGTCAGAGGCCGCCAATTGCTTCAAAATCATTTGGTGCGCTTGTGAGGTATATAATTTAAAAAGTAAAATCTTCAGGCCTACAAGATTATTCAACTTGAAAAAATTTTCCTGAATCCCTAAACCAAAAAAAAGAGTGCAAAAAAAATTACGAATCTTTTTTTTCGTGCTATTACTTTGAATTGCGTGAGAACTATGAGTCTAAAATTTTTTTCATCGGGAGTTCCAAATACTAGAATTTTCTCAAGAGAACTCTTTTTTTTTATCTTGATATTATTTTTACTCAAGCGAAACCCGTCAAAAATTACGACAAAGTTTTAAAATTTTTTTTACTACCTCAATTTTTGTTAGGAATATATTGCTTCAACTAACAATGTCTCTTTTTTGGGTGATTTGTTCCTTTGGGTTCTTTCGTAGACTTATCGATAAGAAAATGTTATTTTTTTAAAGATATTTCATTTTCGGACGAAGAAATTTTTTTTTTCACTCTTTCAGGGAGTACCCCATTTTGCCCGCAAAAAAAAAAAATTTTTTTTGAATACGGCAACTTGAAATTTGATTATTTTCCTTCAATTACGACTGAAAACGAGAAAAATCAGCGTATTTAAGTCCTTAAAATCATAACGATTGCTTAAGTACCCCATTTTGCCCCCCCTCCCCTAATATTTCAAGTAAACTAAAAATTTATAATAATAAAATTCGACATAAATAATACCATAAATAATAAAATTCAATATAAATAATACCGTACTTTTATACACATTTTAACATTGTTATAAAAAAGAATTATAATATTCAGCTTTGTTATTATCGTGAGCCACGTGTTAAAATTTGGATAATACTGTGACATAATACAGTATACAGTCGAATCGCGTTATGAGTCCGGCTTGTTTTCTTTGTTTTTTAACCAGACTCGCGTTAATAAGATAAAGACACAAGGAGGGCTCATAACGCGACTCGACTGTACCAAATATTTATTTCTGTATAAGTGTATAGTTTACTCCTATGCATAGCCTAAATGGCATAGTTACCTGAGCGATTACACCAATATATTTATGTAAGCTAATTATTTGAAAGTGCTGTAGTTCATTTTAAGTTTTAAGTATAGCATTTGCTCAGTGACAACGTGTCATTTAACACCAAAAATTTTTTTTCATTACCTAGTAATTTTGATTAAGCTAATAAAAATACAATTAAAAAATGAATTTATCGCAGCAGTTTGAAAAATTATCGAGTGATAGTCGATATAAAGCAATCCAACGAGTAAGAAAACTGGGAAACGTAGATGCAAATGAAAGAAATGATGAAAATCGGTAAGTACAATATTATTAAAAACATAATTCTAATTTTGTTCTTGTTTTTTAATGTGTACACATCTTTTTTTAATAAAAACCTTGTGTATTCGTTTAATTAATAATTTATCCGTTTTTTATCTTTCAGCAGGAGATACCTCAGAGAAGATGATAATGAAGAACTAATTGATTTGGGAGCAGAAGATATCATAATGGAATATTCAGAGTCCATAATGGAATATCAGAAGAAAATGAAAGCGAAAATGAGTTTGACTCCAGTAATGAAAGTATTGAAACAGATAATGATAATCTAAACGATTTTTCGGATCATTCAAGTGATGATGTTTCTGATACTGACATCGATGAAAATTATGATGTAATTGGTACACTCCGCGACAATAGTATAACCCACCCCTCGAATTTTTTTATATTTACTGTAAAACTAAATACAAGTAAATAAATTCCTAACGCGCCAGCATTGTTTTCTTGATTCTAGTACTATGGTATATATATAGTTACGTTTCGATGCTGCTTTGTTACGCAGCGGCGAAGTTATTGGTTTGATAGCGCAACAAAAGTATAACCCATTCGTCTCATTGGCTCAAGCAGCTCGGTGCACAAAAAGTTTACCCCCTACCGTAGTCGCTCATGACCTTAGTAGTTTATGCGACTTTAAACAAATAAAATAAAAAAAAAAATATATATATATATAAATATATGAAAAGTTGATGTGGGTACTCAAATGAAAGGTCTCGATAAGTGTAATGTTGTAGTGAGCTTGTATCTTTAAAAATGGCAATAGTTCACCAGATGCGAGGTAATTTCTTGATTATGTATCTAGAGATAGAGCATTTTCGAATGCAGCCTTAATTCCTATCATAATAAACACTATTGACTATTGGTGAGAATGATATGAAACCTTGAAAAGGCACAACTCCAGGTCAAGACCTTTCTAATGATACCAAACTCAACCATAAAAACCCATTTTATCATATAAATGCACTGGCCACAAAATTTTTCTTATTCTCTTAATAATATAGATTATTATTATTATTATGATAATTATTATTGCTGTTTTAAATATTATTGCCTGTCTCATGAAAGTCATGCTGCTGTCACAGGAAAATCATGTGGCAGTCACATGAAAATCATGTTGCAGCCACATGAAAAAATCATGTGGCTGCCACAGGAATGTATCATGTGGCAGCCCCAATTTTTTTTTTGCGTGTAGGAATGAACTGAAAAGGATAAAATGATAATGAATTTTTTTAATCAAATTTGTTCCTAACTCCACTATCGCAAGATCACAGTCTATTGCAAAATACATTTTTGAACACTTAGATACTATATATGAAGTAAAAACCTTCAGCAGATAAGTGGTTAACGAGAAAAAGTTAAGTTCGAAATTTAGTGGTGATGTTTCTTTGTAAAAATATCTTACAGCATTCGATGAATTAATTGATCGATTCAAAGTAACCGTTTCAAATGTGAAAAAAAAGTAAAAAGTAGCATATTTATAGTTAATTTTACCTTCTTTTTATAATGATGAAATAGCTATCATTAAAATCTTAACAGAACGACAACATAAATTTAGTTATTTTGAAAAGAATTCTATAGTATTACTAAGACAAATTACGAAATGAGAGTGTTAAT